CTTCAGAAGTAACCAGAGATTATCAAACGTAAGACAAAGCCTCATTTTAGAAAGGGAGGAGCATTCCACTTTCTAAGAACCCAGCCTTTTCTTTGAGCCTAACTTCATAGCACAAAACATGAAGTATCCCGAATCATGGGTCACTTTAACAACTATTTGCCACATTATGTTAACTTCATTTTCATTGGGTAACCCATAGGTAGAAGAAATAAAAAAGATGAAAATTGGTGACCCACTTGATAGATCTACAGATCACGGTCCACAAAATCACAAGGCCCATTTGGAAAAGCTGCTGCAATATTGTGAAACTGGAGTAAAAGAAGGAGCCACCCTAGTGTATGGAGGAAGACAAGTACGTAGACCAGGTAAAATAATGTTCAGAGGTGTTTGGAGCTTTTACACTTTGAACAAAAGCCATCATGATTGTCTCTGCTGCAATATGTGAAGTAGCAATGTGGGAACAGTACCAGGTAAGCCCAAGATACCACTTGAGAACAGGGCTTTCAAGTCTCATATTAAGAGAAGCTGCGCAACTGAAGCGTAACATATGAAATTGAATCAGAATCTAGTCTGTATGGAAATCTTTTGTTCATTTCTACCTGTTGCTTGTGAGGCATTGAGGCTTTTTTTGTAACACCCTTGAACTGTGAAGAGCCATAAGTATAATTATATCCCTTTAGATCACACTAACACTAAAGGTGACTGAGGAAACTACTAGCAGAGTTTGCGTAAGGTATTATTATCAAAAGCCTTTTTTGCTATACAGACAATATGTATGCTAAGTTTACTGAGCCAGCATGAAAGCAACATTTTCTCATGGACATCTGTCCTATATCAGTATTGAAGGAGAAACATTTGCATCAGAGTTTCAAAATATAACGACCGTATCCTTAAATAAAGTGAACGTGTAGATTCATAACTATATGAAATCAGTGTAACAAAGCTAAATGGGAAATCTTATGGAAGGGAGCAGCATTTATATAAAATCTCTGAAGTTGATTTTACCCACTCAAACTGGAATACAGTCACTGACCAAGATGTAGGTAACCAGGATCGCTTGTGTATAACACCAGGACAGTTCTTGATTAGCAACGATGAACTAGCTTTTGGACAGGTCTTTACAACCTTCAGAAACGAACAGTCATTATGAGGCGTTCCCTTGCCTCAGAATTCTCTTTACTTCAGCATCCATAAATCTTAGGCAAAGTTGCTGCCAGTTGCATGTTTTTTCGTTGTTTGGAATATACAGATCTTTATGGCTACAGTCTATCTTCTTGTCGGATAACAAGAGTGGCCTCTGCGGCATGCTGTAACCTTGTCTTCCTGCTGTCAGGGTGCAGGGTCTTCCCCTGAGGAGTCACCTGGGCTGTGGCATGCAGACCTTCTGGCCTGGTCAATACAGGCCATTATTTTAACCTTTTTTCTGCTGTTTGTCTGGTGCTTGCTTCCACACATGCATTTCCATTCATACTTCATTCATATCAATCCTGGTATTTTCTCTTTCAATGTATCTATGACCTCAAAGTATGGAAGAGAGACGGCCTGGACAATACAAACTGTGAAGCATTTCGCCACACTCAAATGATGCTCTATCCTCTGTTTAGGTTTCTTCATGGAACCCACTGTATTCACAGATGTTGAAGACCATATGTATATTGCCCAGGAAGAGTCCTTTGGTCCTGTGATGGTGATTTCTAAATTTAAAAATGGGTATGTTCTCCTCTAGTTACTGTTAGAAACTTTCTCATTTTCACCCTACGTGTAGAAATGATAGCATACGTAGTATGATTTTGTTAAATCTTGTAAGACCAGTCTGGAATCCCTAGATCCTCTTCCAGCTAAATTCAGAGAAAACACCCTTTTTAGCAGGGGGTATCCTGCTCCATGTCGATATAGAACTAATGCTATTAGCAGTGACAGGATAGAATGCAACTGTAAGTGCCAGTTCTTAAATAAGACTTAGTATTCAGTGAAATGTTTTTACTGAAGTTGATGTGGTAATTGCAACAGCTCGATCAAATTACAAAATGTGTGGTTTTTCCAGTGGAATTGCTTATTTTTCTCTGTCACGAAAGACCACATAGCATTGTTGTGCTTTGTGTAACATTGGCACGTTACTATTGCAAATGAAAATCCCTCTGTATATTTTGTAGACTGCTAGTTTTAATAGTTTTACAAGTATTTTTGTATTGCTGTAATCCCCAAGTTGTACTGTAGCTGAGCAATGTTGGTATGCGTACTGCAACTTTTCCCTTGACATTTCTTTGTGTAGATCTTAACCACTGAAATGTAAGGTTACAAGCTTTACAAGTTGGAAGCAAGGGTATGAATTTCCATAGATCTGTCAGATTGACACACAGATTAGTCGTTAGTAAGTTGTCTTTAAAAAGACTAACCGGAGAAGAGCAAGCGTGGGAAAAGGTGCTTCAGTGACATTGAAGGCGGAAGGTTGCTAACACTTGTTTATTTTACCTAGCTGCAATTAGATTTCTTTCCCCTGTAGGGATGTTGACGGAGTGCTGCGACGGGCAAATACCACAGAATATGGCTTAGCTTCAGGAGTTTTCACAAAAGACATAAGCAAAGCTCTCTACATCAGTGAAAAGCTAGAAGCTGGAACAGTTTTTATTAACACATACAACAAAACTGATGTGGCAGCACCATTTGGTGGATTTAAGCAGTCTGGCTTTGGGAAAGATTTAGGTAAGTCATTCTTTCCCTCTCTCATTTCTCATCTGACAGTCCAAACCCATGAAAAAAACACCTTAGCTGTGTACACTGCCTCTAGTGAAACGTGAGCTATGGATGCATTTCCTGCATCTCCTACACTCCTCCCATCCTACATTGCAGCAGTCTAGTTCCTCTCCCATCCCTACAACAGTCCCACCTCAATACCTCCAGTTCAGCCCTTCCTGTACATTTGCTAAATAATGCTACAGCATGCAGAATATTCCTCTCCGACTCCTCTCAGAGCAGTCAAATTACAGCTTGTCCAGAGCTCCATACAGGCTACAAAATGCTGTCAAGCAGCAAAGGTATTGGCCAAAATCTTCTTTCCTTTCCCTGAGAAAGAACGCTAATTTAGGTTTCCCCTCTAAACTTGTAAGAGCATGGGAAACTTTTTTATGCCTTAAAATGTCATCAAAATTTGCCAACAGCCACAAAGATGCATTAAAAAAATCTTTTCTTTTCAAAACCAGTTTTAGAAAAAGTGAAGTCTAGTCTGTCAAAGAAACTTTACAAGTCTGGACAGATCAAGCCTCCTGGCAAAGAAAAATTAAAGAAAAAATGTTTTCAGTGACACAACAGATTTTTGCCTTTGGAATCTCTAGCAAGTATCAGACATTTCCTGAAACCAAAATGAGTAATAGTATCAGGAAAAAAAAAGATTACCAATTTTTTATGCAGCTTCTTTACCTAAAAACTTCAACATAGGCAAACCAAAGCTCGTAAATTCAACTATGAGCCCCCAGTGGCCATCTAGAAACTTCTGCTGCTTCAGTCCCACCCAGGTGGTTTGTTAAATTCCAGCCCCTTTTTCTTTCCACTTGTTGGGTTTGGCCTCTTCTTGTCAAACCAGTTCTGTAAATCTCTGTGGGAGAGTAAGTTAATCAGTTTCCATTGTTCCTTAAGGACTCAAATATTGGCTAAAGCATTTTAGATTTTTTTCTTAATAATATAGTTAATGTCTCTGACAACATTCTCTTTTAGCTGCCATTCTAACTGGTGAATATTGTGTTTGTACAGGTGAAGAAGCTCTTCATGAATATCTCAGAACCAAGGCTATCACTGTGGAATACTAAAAGTAACAGCCTCACTTGGAAAGTAAACTTTCAGCAGAGTTTGAATCTTAATGACTCCATGAAGCACTTCATACCAGGCACAGGATATGCTGTCTGCAGTGCTACAACTGAAAAAAACCCAAAACAAAACACCCATTTCGTGGCTAAGTTTCTATAAATCAGATCAAAATTTTAGTCTTGCTGACAGATAAAAGCATTTGGAAATTAACCTGAAGTTCTTTACATTATGCAGCAGCAGTTGTTAGCACAATCTCCCCCAAAAACCAAGAACGTGGTTTGGTTTTATTTTTTTAAATACAACTGAAGAATGAGTTCTCACATGTCTACTTCTTATTTGTGTGAACGTATTTACATGGCCATTATAAATCCTTAGTCATTAGGCTTCTCTAAAGTTGAACTAAAATATACTGACTATGCCATTTTTGCTATAAACCAGTTCAAGTTTTACAGTAGCAATTAAACATTCTGCTCTGGTGATTCTTCAGCAGTACAGAAAACCTTTGTGCCATAAGAAGTAAATCAATACAAGAAAGTGCACTTACTATGATCTTTGTATAGTACATACAGAGTTCAACATTGGTGTTAAACTATGCATATCAAGCTAAAGTTACTGAAAATATTTTCTATCTTTTTGTTGATACGAACGTGTGATCTGCCTGCAATTTGAAAGGTGGTTACATTAACAGATTAAAATCACTTTTTGTGTCTGTGCACATGGACTGTTATCACTGTTTTATACAGAATTATTATTACTTTGTATTTCATATTTTTTTTAATCTAAAGGAAAATTCCTTGTAAAATGACTGAGTTAGGATGTTGGCTTTCAAACTTTCTTCAGTTTGAAGAGTATTCCGTAGATTGAGAGCTCATCTAACAAACTAAGCCTACTTCAGACCACCTGCTCTTCTTAGAGTGCAACGCCACCCAAAGCTTAATCTGATCTGTGGGTTGCCATTAAAAATAGCAGTCCCATTCTTTGATTCCCATCCTTCCCACTCACTAAAATATTTTGTGTTTTAATCAGTTAATCCCAGTAAATCATGCCCCCTTCTATTTTTAAGAAGCCGCATTGTGAAAGAAAGACCAGAATCCTTGTTATTTCTTATCACAAATATTACAGAAACAGATATTAAAACTATAGCTTTAAGTATGGAATTCAAAATAAGTCCTGTAAATAATTGCAGGTTTCAAGACATGACATTAATATCTGAGCAAATACAATATAGAAAATTTTACTTTAATCATATAGAAAATATAAAGTTCCTTTAAGAAACAAATGATGACATCCAGGAGCATGGTAGATACTTCTGAAGTGCAAACCGATCTATGAAGTAAATACAACAGCCCAAATCATTGTATTTGATCAATCTGAGGCAAGTACGAGACATAACTTTCACGGATTTTGGTTTCAGAATTGTTTCAAGCTAACATAAGTACAGCCCAGCTGAAAATTCACCTTTTTATTCTCCCGAAGTGACAGTTGTCAACAAAATGGAGAGGACAGAAACGTGGCGGGGAAAGTAGGAGATGAAAAGTGTAGCTTAAAGCAATTGTAACACCACAGAGGCAGAGCTGACTCTGTAAGTAAGTCCTAAGGGTATCTGCACTCCAGCCACAAACGTTCCAGACAGGAGCTAGTAACCCACCCGTAATGATAGAGAGCTCAGTGCAGGCACAGAGGGTAAGTGATCCTTTGCTGAACTCCCTCGTGAGTCATGGCTGTCCTTACCCATGCTAGCTCATCTTGAAATGACCTCAGCCACTGCTTCAGTGTTCAACAGTTATTGTCATGAATGCAATGTAGACATACCTCTAATGTACTTTAAGATAATGTTTAATATTGAAGACATTGTACATAACACCTCACAGGACATGGAATATAAAAAACAAAGCTTTTTTCCCTAGTTAACTCTGTCCTGCCCTTGAAGCAAAAACTTCCGGCACACTACAAAAATCTTTCTTCAACAAAGCAACAGAACAAGAATTTTAACTTAACTAGTCCAAGTGCCCCAAATTCTAGCTGCTTTCTTAGTCTAACCTAATTTGAAGTTCATTTTCATGTTTGATGAATAAAACCGCACTTAATTCTTCAGAAATCCAGCCTGCCTCAGTCATGAGTGGATCCTGAATTCTCCACCATGTAAACTATGGCATTTCATATGATCCTGAGGGATGATGCCACATTGGGAAACAAGGTAGTTTTAAGGGCCAAGTCTTCAAAGTAAGAAAACATGATTTGGGTTTTTGTTGTTTTGTTTTGTTGGGTTGTTTTAAGTAAAATAAAATGGATTTACTCATTCACTTTGCTGTCCAAGATTTCTATTTTGCCCTTTTCTCCTTTTTGTTTAGGAAACTTAATGTTGTCTATTGTCACTTCATTAGTTGTACAGTCATCTTCAGATTCTGATTCATCTTCTGAAGTTAGTATTTCTTCATCCGTATCAGAATCACTCAGTTCAACTACAGCCACATTCTGGAAAAAAAGACCTTAGTTAACACATTACACATTTCTATACCACTTCTGTCATTTGAGTAAAACATAAAGCAAACACATGAAACAGCCTACTACTACAAGAAAACCACAACCACAACTAGAAAGACTTTTGCATTCTCCTAGGATTATGACAAATATCATGAACAGATTCCTAAATATTTAAATTGTTAATTTATATTGCCCTGTAACAAATATAAGGCCATCTTTATATCATTATCAAAGAGAGAAATGAGTCAAAAGCTGAATTCAGATAGTCTAAATCAGGTACTTAAACTGACGAGAAGGAGGTATCAAACTTAATTTTCAGTAAAGAATTCAAATGAAACCATTTAGTGTATAAGTGGTCATGACATATACAAACGTGTGTATATATATTTATTAATATAGTTCATATCTTATAACCTAGTAGTGTTCATGGCACTACAACTACTGCAAAATAGCAAGTAGTTTAAACCACCAGGATATTTTTTGAAGTAAAAGTGATCGTATATTTCCATATGCAGAGCCACGATTTTTAAGATCTGGTTTTCTCTCTGAAAATATCTGTCTTAAACTGATAATCCTCACCACAAAAATTTCCCATATACAGCAAAGCAAAATACAGGAATTTGAGATGCAAATAAATTTCTTCAGTGATCTGCAAATAGCATTAAGCTATTAATCACTAGGTCTCCTTGTTTGCTTATTATAAAGCCAAGACACTTGTCAGACATTGTCACATGAAAAATCTTTTAAAAATCTTGTCCAAGTTACCCATTCCACTTCAGCATACTGAAACAAACAATTTTCACGATCCACTTTGTTTTCTCACTATTTAGTTGGAATTCTTCAGCATATACCAGCACTGGACAACCTACTGCATGTAGGCTGGGTAGAATCTACAAGAACTCTGAATCCAACCAGTGGCGAATAAATTGTTCTGACAGCTCACACCAAACCCCAGGCTGCCTTATTTCTGCCTTTTATCTTGTGGGTCTGCAGGCCAGAAGGCACTTGTCTGGGACATGCGCATATCACACGCATCACCCTCATACTAAAATTTTCTTACGTGAGCATGTGGCTGCAGCACTTCAGTTAAAAAAGAGAAAGAAAATATTGATGTGAATGTAAATAGATAGATACCAGCTATAAAGGATCACAACAACACTAACAACTTTTCTAAACCCAACACCTATAGCCAGTCCTAAAAATACCTACAAAGCACAGCTGAAAGCCAGTTATTAACTCTTATACTAAAGCCTTGTTATGCCTTACTACGCCTTACGTTATCCAGTTTCTAAACCAAATTACTCATGAGACATTTAAAATACAATTTGTGACTTACTTTTGATTCAGAGTTGCTGATTCAAAAGTATGTCTTATTCTGGCCTTAAACTACTTCATCCCCAGTCATTAAGTTCTGCAAGTATGAAAACCAAGTAGTAAATTTTAACCAAATAAGCATTTTTATTACATCTATGTTTTGAATTTGCAGATCGCGGACTAAGATGGTAAAGACTTAGCCTTATCTATCAAATTAGCTCATTCTAAGATCAGAGAATTATTTTAATCACATCTAAATTTAATTTATAAAATAAAAAATACAGAAAGTATTTACCATTTCTATAACTTTTTCTGTTGCAGTGTCTAGATTTTCAATATCAAACTGATGAGCTGGTGCTGTTACCATTTTTCTTCTCAGCTCATCATTTGCATGGGCCATCTGCGGTAAAAAGCTCTGTACTCGGTCCAAAACTGAAAAAGAAATAATTATCACATGTATATATACAAACAGATGCCCATTAGTTTATACATTTATACCTCAGAAATCTGAGCATTTAAACAGATTCCATTTCAACTGTAATTTCCAGCTGTCTACCATATTTAAGATGCTTTAATAGAAGGATTTATTACAGTATTCAATTTTCCAAGACACAAACAGCAAAAAGATATAAAATCTATTGGTCAGCATGTGGTGCAGGAAGAAATCACTTCAACAATTCCATTTGGATTCTTAAAACAAAATGTGACTACTTTACAGAAAACTTGCTTGTAAATTCCATGGTTTTAAATACATCTTGAGTGCCAACTTCCACATCAGTATTATCTCCAATGGAAATATAATTATGTCCTCCTTTCTTCCCTGTTACAAAGTATAGACTGAAGGTCTCAAAGAAGATGGAAAAATTAGCTGTGGCAGATGCCACAGATGTCATGCTATACTAAAAAAAAGTTCAACAAAATTATCAAGAAGGGCTCTGAAATTAAGACAGTGGGAGAGAGACGGATGTCTGTTTTGAAGTGTAAAGCACTTATCCCCTACAGAAATATCCCTCTAAGCTCAGTGGGACTTCCCAGCTCCAGTTTCTTCAAATAATCTTTGCTCCACACATGCAGATGAGCCAATCACTGGTTTAATTCTCCGTGAGTAAGAGGTACTATTCTGAGTGAGCTCCACAGAAGCCTAACAGGTATAATCTACCTTTGAAACACTGTCATCTTTGTTGAGACTTTTATCCAAGAAAACTCAATGTAACAAGTTGGGTTTTGTATTACTTTTTAAATCTGAGCTCAATCACAAAATAAAAATATAATAATTTGACAGGAGTCTGTTTTAAATTAAATGCTTTTATACACCAAATATTTTATACTGAGAGATTACTTCTGAAAAGATAAGAAGCCCAGATTGGCAAAAAAGCAACAACTCTATAGTGGAAAAGAACAATCTGAGACTAAAGAACTGCGGTATATTTTAATGAAAAGAAAAACTCCTGAAGATACACTACTTTCAAAGAATAACAATTTTTACACTATGTCCTCTTATGCACAGAGTTACAGAGAAGACAATGTTAGCAACCTATATGTAGCTTAGTCAAAGGAAGAAGGAGCATAGCTCGATTAAAGAAAAAAGTTTTCTTAATGCATTCAAATTAATTTGTTATTAATGAATGGTTATATGATCTGGCTTACTAATTTTGCCAGCACACTCATTAAAAATAAAGTTCTGAATGTGATCTACAGAACTTGCATCAATTTGAAAGCAGCTGACTAAATGAAGACCAGAGCTACAACCTGGTGAATTCACTATATGCAGACAGCAGGAGTATTTCTGCAAGGAGAACTAAGTCCCTAAAAGTTACAGCTGTAACACGCCTAGCATCGCAAAATCTAGCTTTGCAGAAGCAGCAGTTACATGATTAACCTGTGGGTGATATGCAACAGCAAAGGAGGACCTAGCACCCATAAAAACAGAACGCAAGAATTTGTCCCATTACTAATCCAAGGAAAGCACTGAAGCCAAAGTTTTGAAATGGATGTTACCTACTACTTGACACTGTTCCAATAACTAAGTCCTACTGTATTGGGTCTGTGTGGCAAGGTTTTGGTAGTGGGGGGGCTACAGGGGTGGCTTCCGTGAGAAGCTGCTAGAAGCTTCCCCTGTGTCCGACAGAGCCAATGCCAGCCAGCTCCAAGACGGACACGCCGCTGGCCAAGGTCGAGCCCATCAGCGACAGTGGTAGCACCCCTGGGATAACAGATTTAAGAAGGGAAAAAAGTTGCTGGGGTACAAAAACTGCAGCTGGAGAGAGGAGTGAGAACATGTAGGAGAAACAGCCCTGCAGACCCCAAGGTCAGTGCAGAAGGAGGGGGAGGAGATGCTCCAGGCACCGGAGCAGAGATTCCCCTGCAGCCCGTGGGGAAGACCATGGTGAGGCAGGCTGTCCCCCTGCAGCCCAGGGAGGTCCACGGTGGAGCAGATCTTCACCTGCAGCCTGGGGAGGACCCCACGCCGGAGCATGTGGGTGCCCGAAGGAGGCTGTGACTGCGTGGGAAGCACACGCTGGAGCAGGCTCCTGGCAGGACCTGTGGCCCTGTGGAGAGAGGAGCTCATGCTGGAGCAGGTTTGCTGGCAGGACTTGTGACCCCACAGGGGACCCACACTGGAGCAGTGTGCTCCTGAATGACTGCAGCCCATGGAAGGGATCCACACTGCAGCAGTTCATGAAGAACTGCAGCCCGTGGGAAGGACCCACGTTGGAGAAGTTTGTGGAGGACTGTCTCCCGTGGGAGGGACGCTACGCTGGAGCAGGGGAAGAGTGTGAGGAGTTCTGCCTCTGAGGAGGAAGGAGTGGCAGAGACAACGTGTGATGAACTGACCTCAACCCCCATTCCCCATCCCCCTGTGCCGCTGCAGGGGGAGGAGATAGAGAAAATCAGGAGCAAAGTTAAGCCCAGGAAGAAGGGAGAGGTGGGGGGAAAGTGGTTTAAGAATTGCGTTTTCTCATTACCCTACTCTGGTTTGATTGGCAATAAATTAATTTAATTTTCCCCAAGTCGAGTCTGTTTTGCCCGTGATGAATAACTGGTTGAGTGATCTCTCCCTGTCCTTATGTCGACCCACAAGCCTTTTGTTATATTTTCTCTCCCCTGTCCAGTTGAGGAGGGGGAGCGATAGAGCAGCTGCATGGTGCTTAGTTGCTGGCTGGGGTTAAACCACAACACCTACTTACCATTACTCCTTGGCATCCTAACTGTCTGTAAAGTTGTGGCCTTCTTGCTGCTACATTTTGAACTAATCAACAAAGTTTCTTCCAGCCCTGGAAACAAAAAAGTATTTGAATGTTTACCTGTCTCAGCCACAAATGTCACATTTTAACTGTGAGGCTCTCTTCTTGCTGCTACTTTTCCACCTTTCTACCACAAGACTAAACATGAGGATTCAACTGTCTCTGCCTCCAGGAATTCCACTCTGCTTTCCGGCAAATACTGTTTCTTGATATTTGTTTGGGGTGCTTGTCTCAGTATTTCTGTATGTAGTAGGTAGCAAAAGGCTAGAGCTTGCTACCACGAGAGGCTGTGAAAGCAGACGGATCAGCGGGTTCAACACGGAATTAGACCAGTTCAGGGCAGCAAAGTCATCATCAGGTACTAAAAGGACTGAGCAGGAATGTACCCCATCATCCCCAACCCTACAACCGTAGACACTGGGCAATTACAAGGACAGGGAGCACACAGTCCTTAAACTAATGAGTTCTCTGTAATTATCATCTGCTATTGCAGTTCCTGGAAGAAAGACTACTGGGCTATATGGACCACTGGTCTGACCCTGCAGGTCACTTCTTACAGGCTCCCACTGTTTTCAAAGTCTTTGTCAAAGATTTATTTAGTGATAGCTATCAACACACAGAGAAACTACCTGTAATACCCCCAGCAAAACATAGCGAGGTAACAGCTAGCATGTGCTAGTGACACTGACTGAAATCCCTTCCCTAATGCGTGTGACTGCGGTGGTGACCAATAAAGGGATGCTCATGACCTGAAGTAACTATTTTTACAAGAGTAGCATCGTAAAATCCAAACGAAGTAGGAAAAATCTCCGTTAATTAGACAAGCCAGTTCTTATGGCCGCCAACACAGCCATCGGCCCTTCCCCCTTAACTGAAGTGGAGCTTTATTGCTTTTTAACATTTTTTTTCCTCACAGGAATATCGTTACAACTATGGATGCTACTTTAAGGTTTGTTTGGGGGTTCCCCCCCCCCCCGCCCCGTATTTACTCGAACTATACCAGCCACGCCCGGGAAAACGGTGGCTCTTCAAACCCCGCGAGATAACATAACAAGTGGAGGACTACCAGCCAGACGGCCTAAAAAGCCCCCGAGGCCAGAGTCCGGGGGTTCACCACAAGCCGAGCCCACCCCCCCTCTCCCCAACCTCCCGTCCCGGGGGGGCGGCCGGGCTGAGCCCCGCAGCGCCGCTCCCTGCGGCCGGAGGAACCCAGCTCAGCTTGGAAAGCGGCTCCGCACCTCTCGGCCGCGGGGCTCCCACCCCCCGACCCCGGGGGGACCGCTCCCCTCCTCGCCGCCCCACCACCAGCAGTTCCCG